CCTTTAAGTATGCCAAGCAGTAAACCTTTTCAGCTCTGGCTAAATGCAGCTTTAGAACTTGTTACAAGAATATAACCACACATCTTGTGCGAGATATAAGCTTTTTAGACACATCAGCGCTAAACAAAACCCCATTTTCAAGTAAGGACGATTTTCTCAGATGGTTCGGGTCGAGGGAGGGAAAGTGGAGACCTCTATTTATGCCGAAGCAGTTGTTCTTGGTGTGAATAAGCCATGAAAGTGAGTGACACACAGCTCCATTTTCAGTGGCAGCTCCTTAACTGCCTGATTGCCACTGTGAAGCTCAGGAATTTCCTTACGCTGACTTTCCCCAACAGCAAAGGCACAGGACTGATTCCTTCCCTGCTGAAACAGCAAATCCTTGAGACAGACAGGAGATCCACTCACACACATACGCACACAAGGCCCATGAGCTTACACACTTCCACACAGCGGCGTGGCCTTTCACGGCCCGCCTTCATGACTGTGACAAGTTGATTATCGCCTTCTTTGGAGAAGATTTCGTTTAGGATAGTCTATTATATTCAGATACCTCAGTGGGAACCATTTGTGTCATTTTAGTCACTAAACAGCTTTATTTGCAGTTTTGAAATGTGATGACACAGAAATGACATGAAAAGAAGCTAATTTAATAAATAATTTGATAAGTCCAGAGTTTGCTAATCTTGTGCACATACAGTAAATCCTCCTTAAAGTCGAGACGTGTCCCCCACCCCCTTCCTGCCACGGCCGCTGGCTGCGGAGAAAAGTGTCAGGAAAAGTCTGCTATTGGTTTCAGTTTAAAACTCTCTTGTTAAATCCAAATGAAATACTATAAAAGCATTTGAAAAATATTGCACCTTTGGATAGGCTAGTTACACAAATTAATTTGTTCTTCGGATTATAATGTTGTCTAACGACATGTTGGTGAAGATTCTTAGTCGTCCAGGTCATAGTCATTCCAAAAAAAGTTTAATTTCAGCTTTCAAAAACCTACTATGCAGCAACTGAGTTAATCCCTTCCCAATGTTATTGTAGCCCCAGCCCCTTCAAAGGAGAGCGGAGGACCTCCCCTATTCACTAAGGCCAACAATCCTCTTTAACGACCCCCCTTTCAGACACTTAGACAGGTATGGTGACATTTCACGTCCCCAGAGCCAGTTAAGGCGCCCGTGGATCAGGTCGCCGAGGTCTCCGCCTCTGGCTGCCGCCCAATCCCCTTTGCACCGGTCCCTCATGGTTCCCCCTGCAGGTGGTGGGCCCACTGGGGGATTGCCTCGCGTCGCTCCTTCGGGCTGGGTCCGGCCGGGTCCCGCGATGAAGAACCCGACCCCCAGGCGCTCGCCGACGAACCCCAACCCCAGGCCTGGCTCCAGGGTGGGGTCCCGGCTCCGCTGTACCGGGCGACGCCACGTGCCTCGTTTTAGTCCTAGTCATAAGGGTTTTTGAACCGCTCTTCGTCTGACCTGGCACCCAAAGCCTGTTTGCCTTGGGAGACCGTACCAGGGGCATTTAGCCCCCCGACAACATAGCCTCTGGGATCACCCAGGCACTGAAACCCCTCCACCACGTTAAGGTGGCGGTTCAAGGAGGGGATAGAGTTACAGATAGGGTGAGGAGCTCGGTCATTCGGGAGAGGCTCAGTGTAGAGCCGGTTCTCCTCCACATCAAGAGGAGTCAGTTGAGGTGACATCTTCTTCGGATGCCCCTTGGACGCCTCCCTCGGGAGGTGTTCCAGGCACGTCCCACCGGGAGGAGGCCCAGGGGACGACCCAGGACACGCTGGAGAGACTATGTCTCCTCAAACTCAACGCTATTCCTGACATTTTGAATTGATAAAGCTCCCTGGATGAGAAGAGAAACGTCTTCAAACTTGAAAACAAAGTCCAATGTTTTTAACTTTTATTTGGATTGTCTAACAATATGTTTCCAAGTGATACAAGGCTTTGTCTATATAAAGACTCAAACTCAC